AAAAGAAGAACTTAATTGGACTAACTTGACAAGTTTTAGAACTTGATTGCACTTTTTGAAAGTTTTAGGACTCAATTGCATTTTATGATAAGTTTTAGGATTTAATTGCACTTTTTAAATATTTTAGAACTCAATTACACTTTAATGATAAGTTTTAGAATTTTTAAGGCATTTATTCCGAACCAGAAAACTTAGCTTTCATGTGTAGTGACCTCGTCACATGGTCGTGACTGAGAATTCACTGCGTGCAGATAGATACGTCAGCGTCACGCAGTTCCTTGGTGGTCTTTTCATATTTGCTTTATTGATACCATCAACAAGGACCACTTAACCCTACCTCAGGCTGCAAAATTGATGAACAGAGCCACGTGAATCTCTACCATTAACGACGCCCGTGTTCTTGCTTCGGCAGCATACATTGATAGGCTTATGCTGGCGCCTGCCCTCAAATTCTCAATCCCTAACGCGAGCTATCAGTTTGGCATGGATAGTGCATCTTTTCCACAAATGGGAAGAAGGAAAATCAGGAAACAAATGAAATGTGTTTCCGTTTTCGTTTTAGCTTTAGAGCAAAGCATGTGATTTGTAAGGTATGCAATGAATATCGGTGCAGCGTTCGTTTCGATGTTTCCGGTGGAGCGTCGGCATGTGTGTAGCTTTCGAGTTATTTCAATTCCACTCGTGTGTTTTTATTTTCCAACGATTTCCCCCTTCAGTGTTTGCTTCGATTTCCCTTTCATTTCGTGTTTGTTAGCTTCAATTTTCTTTAGTTTCATCCCTTTTTTTCCTTTTAATCTCCTTTGATTCCCTGTCATTGCGCTTGACTTTTCAATGAATCTACTTTCCTCGTCATTAAGGTCGAACCGGCAATTTACACCTCGCATATTTTGTACTTTAAAATAGATATAATTACGTTTAATCTATCTTAATTCTTAATGCTATCGCTAGGCCTTGGTGGCATGTCCTAGTGAACGAATGAGTTAAGAAATGTGACTCGATTAAACTATAAGTGGCCCCATATATTCATTCCCTCTTCTTGGATTATACTTACCATAAATTTAAAGCCTAACCTAATCGAGCCATCCGATAGGCAAACTCCATAAATACAAAGAAAAAGGGTGGAATCACCAAGCAATAATGGCCGGAAATGGGAGAAAATCAGCGATGCCATCATCCAAATTCATCATCACCATAAGAAAAAAGAAGAAAAAAATATAAATTATGCTCTCGATTAGACTTTAGATGCCCGGCAAAAAACTCCTAATTGGGTTTGGATTGTCGGGAAAAATTGCCCTTAATCATTTCCTTTCTGGAGCCTAATCAAATCACGCCTGCCCTAATTGTCCTTTGGGGCCACGAAACAAGACAGAAGAGACACACGACGAGTGTAATCGATTAATGAAAAGATGGGTAGGACCCGAAATCACCATCACGACGAACCACCAGTGCAACCAAAACAAACCGGTCACCCATCTAACTCCAATTGAATGTTGTCCCATCTTTCCGATTATAAAACTTCAATTATTGTAATCATTCATGTTTATCCAATAATTCATGCGAGTTTCCAATTCGTAATCATCGGTCCATGACGCGTTTCTTTCGTAGAAAATGAACAATCTTAAGAACATTGTCCTTGAAGATAATCCTCCGTGTTGTTCGCGAAAACGAACGAACAAAAGGTAATTTTTATAGTGTTGACACCCAAAATTACCTCTGGTGGGTGCGGGCGGATTGCAAATCACAAAGAACGTAAAACACGGCTCACATAGCATGAATCCGGAGAAAGACCGTGAGTCAGGCCCCGAAGCATCGGAAAGATTTGGAGCAGTTATCGACAGGACACATCATAGAAGTGTCGACAGATTGACAAGTCCAAAATCACGAGCCTTGCACATGACGTCGACAAGTCCAAGATCACGAGCCTTGAACGTGACGTCGACAAATCCAAGATCACGAGCTTTTCATGTGATGTCGATGAATTAAGCACTTGGTGTTACATGATAAAGAAATTCATTTTCACGTGTCGAAAGGTAAAGACATAACCGTGGGCATGAAGATCAAGGAAGCTAAATAGTGAAACGTGGGAAACAGCAGGAAATAAGGAGACACGTGGAAGAAAATCAGCTATTACGTGATGCCCAAGGGGCGTAAGCAACATCGACAAGTCAAGAAGCGGTTAAAGTGCGAAACGTAAGGAAGTGGAAAACAACTTTCAAGGGAGAAGTAGCCGATCGACAGTTATCAGGTTGCTCTATAAATATTCAAGGATTTCCGACGTAGAAAAGACCTCCGAACAAGACAACAGACCTCTTATCTATCTTTATTTTCGATACAATAGGAGTAATAATAGTTACAGCTTTTAGATTCCACGTCGTAGATTCAATTCCGACGCGAGTCTTTATCAAGTCCAACATTGCTGATTAAATTCCAATGTTGTGCCACCAGTTCAACGTCGTCGATTAGATTCCGGAGTTGTGCTTGAAATATAGCTGTTGATTAGATTCCAGCCATATTCTCTCGGGGCACGTCATTGATTAGATTCTGGCGTACCTGGAATTGTAATGTTGTGTACTAGTTGTGTCGTTGATTGGATTCCGACGTAGCTTGGTTTTGGCATTTGCAAGGTGTCATCCTATTGTTAGTATTGTTGAGTTGGGTGTATTATCGAGTTAAGTTGTAAGGCACAAGTTGGGTTTAATAGGCACATTTGACATTCTCTGTCCAAACTTGACTCAAAACCCTGGTCTCCTCTAATAAAATCCGAAACGCAGCGTTCGGTGAAAGATTTTCGACGGGATAAAACCGGCGAAACATATAGGTAACGAAAACATTTCCGGTCGATCGATTATTCAAAAACGATACAAACGATTAATTTAAAATATATATATTTTAAATCATTTATTTCGGTGTACATTCTCGTTTAGTGATGTGCATACTAGGGGTGAGCATGGTCCGGGTTGGGCCGGTCCACCCCCTAATCCTAGGACCAACCCGCACAGTGTTGGTCCTCAATTTTGGGACCGAGGACCGCCCGTCGGTTCCATGGACCCGCCCGAGAACCGGACCGCCGGTCCGGTCCGGTTCCCTGGCGGGTCCATGGAACCCGTCCCACCAAATTTTCCTGGACAAATAAAAAAAAATATGTGGACCAACATCGGATCAACGGAACAAAAAGAAAAGAACATAACTTTCCATACAATTCCTATACTATAATAAGTTCTATTAACCACATCATCCATAAATCAAGTGGGTACTCATTAAATGAGTGTCGAGAGATAAGAGAGCAGAGAGTTATGAGTATCTAGTCACGTTTTTCGTTTATTTTTTATTTTTTTTGGTCAGATTTTTTTAATTAAAATTTTAAAAAATAAATATATTATTATTATATTACCGGTCCGGTCCGGATGGGCGGGTGGGCGGTTCCACACCGGGAACCGGACCGATACCCACCGGTTCCAATTTTTTGGAACCGGAAACCGAACCGGTCCCCTTGAGAATCACCGGTTCCGATCCGATCCCGAGCGATCCCGGGCGGTCCTGAATTTTTTGCACATCCCTAGTGCATACGAGTCCAGATTAACCGAACTCAATGAATCACACGCATCATGGCTAGAAGAAATCGAATGAGAGCACGACTCTTAGAACACGTGTGTCGGGGGCCGCCGAAGTTGAAACTCAGGGCGAAGTAAGTACGTGGGAAGCTGGTGTTGACTCGAGTCAACTGGCTTCGCTGACCGCACGATTTCCACGTACCTAGCAGACATTCGTGACATTAGCGGGTTGATTAGGAAGCTACCATAATCAATTTCAGAAAAAAAAAACTTTTGTCAAAAAAAAAAAACGAATTGGGAGTCAACCCTTGAGTGAGCATGTTAATCGATTTTCGATTTGGCCACACGAATTCGTTTTGTCTTCACTAATGTGGTCCCCAAGCTTCGCCAATGATGTCGGTCTGGCTTATCGCGTTCTCTTCCGAGGAGCTTTCGACGCGGCTCGAATGTTCAGATCTGGGCATATCGAATGGCCATTATTCTGCCCTAATCGGATGGCCCGAACCAACTTGCCGGAGTGGGTCCTAGGGGTCAGCATAAAGAGCCGCTCAGGACGAGGACCGCGGACCGGCCGATTTAGGTCGGTTCCATGAAATTAGAACCGGTGAATGTTGGTTCGGTTCCCGATTCCAAGTGTGGAACCGCCCACCCAGACATGACCGATTTTTTTTTTATTTCTTAAAAAAATATGTAAGAACCGTAACCTATCTCCCATTTCACAAAGGTTTTTCCTTCAAGGCTGGAGCAACTGTGTTTACTTATGCATGTGAGTAAGATGACAAAAACAAATCAAAACACAAGATTAATTTTTCATTCCAACCAAATTTTGCCACAAATCGGAAAAATCTTTGTGAAACCTATAATGTTACACGTAACTCACCGATTGTAGAAACGCCTCGATTATCAAGAACATATTCAATTTCGTCTCGAACATTAACGATAAACCAAAAAAGGAAAAACCGAACATGCCACCGATTCCATTGGCCCACCCGAGAATCGAACTCGACAGTTTGATCCAATTTGGTTCCGAGGGGCACCGGTCCAATTTTCAGTTTTAGAAAACAGGAAACCGGCCTATCTAGTCCAGTTCCCGATTCCCGAGGGAGAACTGGACCGCCGGAGAACCGATCACCTCCGGTGGCCCCCGGTCCCCAGAATTATTGAGAACGTCCATCGCGCGGTCAGGAGGACAAATTCGTAAAAAACGAAATGCGTTTTTTACGAAATCTCATTGGCGGTTCTCGCGTGCGACCATCCCGCTCCAGGGCTAATCTCGACCTTTACACGCATCACCGGGCCCCACCCCCCCCCGCACGGGGGCCCCGACACGACGGTGATTCATCATCCGACCGTCCACGATCGCGACGCGCGGCCCGTCCGCCCCGGGCCCATCCTCAGCCGTCCGATCATCCCCCAGGAACTGCCTGTGCCCATATAAAGCAGAGCACGGCCGCCTCCCCCGAAGAGGAAGAGGAGGATTTCAAACCGTTCCGCCCTCCCCGATTCGAACGAATTCCTCGCGAATCAATCGTGAAACCCTAAATCGCCGTCCGAATTGGGAATGCAGAGAGATGAGAGGCTTCTTGCTGACGAATCCTGAATTCAGCCCCCGCGCCGCCGCCGCCGCCACCGCCATCGGCGGCCGGAATTGTCACCGGAAGCACGTCGAGGACGGGTGAACACCCCACCACTCCCCCCCGCCGTCCCCGCCGGTTCTGAGTTCCTCGCTCGCTTCCCCACTCCGAGTCTCGTTCCGTTGCAAGATTCCATTTCAATCTCGGCAAAAGGAAAAATCGCATCTTTCGCTGCGGAGATGGCGGAGCCCCAAGGCGGAAGAGGCGGCGGCGGCGGCGGCGGTTCCTCGGTCCTACACGGGAAGTACGAGCTGGGGCGGCTGCTGGGGCACGGGACGTTCGCGAAGGTGTACCACGCGCGCAACCTCCAGACGGGGAGGAGCGTGGCGATGAAGGTGGTGGGCAAGGAGAAGGTGATGAAGGTGGGGATGATGGAGCAGATCAAGCGCGAGATCGCCGTCATGAAGATGGTGAAGCACCCCCACATCGTGGAGCTGCACGAGGTCATGGCCAGCAAGTCCAAGATCTACTTCGCCATGGAGCTCGTCCGCGGCGGCGAGCTCTTCAACCGGGTCTCCAAGGGCCGCCTCCGGGAGGACGCCGCCCGGATGTACTTCCAGCAGCTCATCTCCGCTATCGACTTCTGCCACAGCCGCGGCGTCTACCACCGCGACCTGAAGCCGGAGAACTTGCTGCTGGACGAGGATGGCAACCTGAAAGTCACCGACTTTGGGCTCAGCGCCTTCTCGGAGCACTTGAGGCACGACGGTTTGCTGCACACGACGTGCGGGACGCCGGCTTACGTCGCCCCGGAGGTGATCGGGAAGAAAGGATACGACGGCGCGAAGGCCGACCTCTGGTCTTGTGGGGTTATCTTGTTTGTCCTCCTTGCAGGCTACTTGCCCTTTCAGGATGATAACATCATGGCCATGTATCGGAAGATTTACAGGGGAGATTTCAAGTGCCCGCCGTGGCTGTCCTCCGATGCCCGGAGGCTCGTTACCAAGCTTCTTGACCCGAACCCGAGCACGCGAATCACCATTGCCAAGGTCATGGAGTCGTCTTGGTTTAGGAAGTCAGTGCCGAAGACCATCAGGACGAAGCAGGAGTTGGAATTCGAGGCCTTTGATGGGGAGGACGAGGCCGGGAGCGGCGCGGCCAATGGCGAGAAGCCGAAGAAGCAGACGGAGACCCTGAATGCGTTCCATATAATCTCGCTGTCGGAGGGCTTTGATCTGTCGCCGCTGTTCGAGGAGAAGAAGCGGGAGGAGAAGGAGGAGATGAGGTTCGCGACGACGAGGCCCGCGAGCAGCGTGATTTCGAGACTGGAGGAGGTGGCCAAGGCCGGGAAGTTCAGCATCAAGAAGAGCGAGTCGAAGGTGAAGCTGCAGGGTCAGGAGACGGGGAGGAAAGGGAAGCTGGGTATCGCCGCCGAGATCTTCGCCGTGACGCCGTCGTTCTTGGTGGTAGAGGTGAAGAAGGACAACGGGGATACTCTGGAGTATAATCAGTTCTGCAGCGAGGAGCTTAGACCTGCACTCAAAGACATATTGTGGAAATCTCCTGCCGAGAGCTCTACGCCTGCATGAGGAACTGAACCTTTTGGGTTGTTGGAATGGCTTGTTCTGTTAATGTTTCTACTGATAGAGCTATCAAGATTTGTGGACATCAAAGCCAGATTCGTTGTCGATGACTCTCGGTAATGTGATATGTTTGTGTGATTCTGTGAATGGATTGTGCTTTTGGGTCTGAGATGGAAGTTGTCTCGCATGTGTGCTTTCTTTCTGCTCTGTTTGTGAAACGAATTGTTCGTGGCCTTGATAGAAATTTGGGATCTTTGCCTTGCTCTTTTGGTTCCATCTTTCTGTCATCATTGTCTACTGGATCGCAATCCACTCCAAAAGCAAAATATTGGCTCAGCAAATAAGATCATTCGATCATTCCCAGCAAATATACGTATGATTTTTGGAACTTCGATGATGATGAAGGATGGCCCTTCTTCGATTATGGTGTCTCAATTATTGTCCTTCACACACGATCGAAGAGGTCTTGTCTGCCACACAATTATTGTTCGCCCCGGCCAATTGAATGACAACTTCTTTTTTGCGTTACCCTTTTTCTCTATTTTGCTTTCATGATTGGATTTTTGTCTCAAACACCTAAAAAATTTCTTACCCCTTGGTTTGTTTCGTTCCAAAGCGAATAATCTGACAGAAGAGGACAAACATAGTGAAATCATGTTCTCGTCTGCAATATACCTCCGTGCAGTTCTGTACACATGCAAAATCCGCAGGTACATGTGTTTGATGTAGCTGTTTCTCTACTGTTTTTGTTTGTTTTTGCATTTCTGGTACCACAGTCGACCTCCACAACGTGAAAATTGCAGAATCGTTTAAACTAACCCGTCAGCCATTTGTATCCATGCATTGTATCACGTGAAAAGATTCCCCCTTTCATGTTTGTCATCCTCCGTTCATGTCCAAGCCTCTGACATTGATAAAATTAGGTCATGTATTTATTATGATGGAGAAGACAGAAATCTGGCGGAACAACGTGATGATGTAATTTAGGTACACCAAAACAAGAAAGTGTGCCGTATCTAGGACGTGAAACAGGACAGCCCCAACTATGAAGTTTCTGTTTCAATTGTTTTTGACAAGTTGTCTCTCTAGTATGAAGGATCGTGTGGAACTCACAAGAGCTCCTTTGGATGCATCTCTATTGTGTTTAAGCATATATCTATCAAATCCTTCGCAGGGAGAGAGTTTTTTGGGCAAACTTTGTATTTTTGACTAGTGGTATTTTGTTTAGTGACGAAAAGAGCAATAAGGAGCCATTACGGTGGTAATCTATCTAAAACCTGATCATAAGAGTCCCCACTTGTTACAAAATACTCGGTATAAATCATAATAAACGAACACGGATTGACCGCAACATGAGGATAAGTAAGCCTCGTAGCACAGTTAAAGTTCATTATCGGTGAAGAACCTCTTCTTGACGGCACCTTATTCGAAAACTACTACCATAAAAGTTTTCGACTTCACAATCGAGAAGACATTGAAAGCCTTAACGAAGTAAGCTCCCACCACAAAGTATGAATGATAAGATGAATTTCGTCGTGCACCTTTAAAAAGGAAAATGACATAAATGGTCAATGAAATATGACTCACTGTGCAATGTCGTCCTGGGACTTCTAATTCGTTTAATGTAATCCCTAAACTATTGATAAATATTCAATGTAGTCATTTTGTTTGCTCAAATGATAAATTAGAAGTTTTTTGATGACGTGGATTATTGTATGCTGAGTTGGAGTATAAAACATGATGAGTGGATTGTCCTTGCTAAGCAGTACTTTTGTAGAGATGACTTGAGTACTAGTTTTGGCTAATTAGCATAATTAATTAGTCGCAAATAAGATAGAATGGGCAATTTGCATTGATATCCTTCACACGGGATCTATGTAGCGCCGGTTTCAAATTCAAGTAGGTGACTACTCGAGCCTCAACCCAACTACTTGTCATTAATGGTGCGTTTGTTTCACGGAAAACTCAATAATAAAGGAAAATATTTTCCGAAAAATCATTTTCCAGGAAAACGCTTAGTTTTCCCTTGTTTGGTGATACACAATGGAAATCGTTTTCTGATGTTTGGATTTCATTGGAAAAAGATTTTAATCTCATGACTTTATTTAAGGCAAAAAAAAAATCAAGTTTTTAATTATTTTTTATTTCTCTTTTTTATTTTCTTTTATTGAAAAAATGGAATTATTAATTTTAATTTTCTTTTATTTTCTTTTTCCACCTTCCTCCACCGTGACCATCCGGCGACGGCCATTGGCGAGCTTGAGGGTCGCCCGGCAATGGCCACAGGTGAGCTCGAGCTCGCCGGCCTCGGCTGAGCTGCGAGCTTGCCTGGATCTAGCGAGCTGTGAGCTCGCCGACCTTGGCTAAGCCCGAGCTCTCTGGCCTCGGCAAAGCTCGGGCTTGTTTGGATCGGCCGAGCCCTGAACTCACTACCAGAGGCCGTCGCAAGCTCGCCGGCCTAGGGCAGGCTCAAGGCTTGCCGGCCGTCGCTGTGGCCGGTGACCGGCCGAGGAAGGAGAAAAAGAAAAAAGAAGAAAAAAAAAAGAAAGAAAAAAAGAAAAAAATAATTCGATTTTTTTTAAAAAAAAAATAAAATTTGATTTTTTTAAATAAATAAATAATCAAATTTTTTAAATAAATATTTTTATAAGAACAAACGCTTCATTAACTAAGGACCCGAGCCTGAGTGTCGAGGACCTGCGCATGGCTTTTGTAGACTCGGGTCATAGGGTTGGGACTAGAGCTCGAGTATCGGGGACCTGAGCACGGCCTTTATGGACTCAAGTTCGAGTGCCGGAGCATCGGGTACGGGCACTAGGGATTCAGGCTCAGCCTCGATGGACTCGGGCATGGGTACCGGGGGCCCGGGCCCTGGACATCGAGGTCTTGAGCCCGGCCGTCGAGACCTGGTCCTGAATGTCGGGACTCAGGAATCAACGTTGGGATTTCATGCCCAAGCGTAGAGTTTCGGGTCTAATCGCCGATAGCTAATTATATTTTGGAAAACGTTTTTCGATTCTTTTAAAGGGGAAATCATTTTTCTGAATTTAAGCTTTGATAAGCAAACTTTTTCTATTGCTGGGAAAATATTTTCCGTTGACTCATTTTCCTAAACAAATCAAACGTCGAAAAATGAGGCAAGCGTTTTTCCGGAAGATGTTTTCCGCGAAATAAATACACCCTAAGAATATATTGACTTGATGATTTGCTCATGAATTCGCGTCGTGATTGACCTTAACCACCAAAGGATTGTTGCAGAGTTACGTGCAGGTGCAGGCCAGCATGACAGCAAAGCCAAGATCAGCTTTTTTGCATGGTTCATGACAATGAGTTTGTATCCTTCGATTTGTCAAAGTTTGGTTGGTACACGGCGATTAGTTAGGCGTGCGTTCGTTATCAATCTGGTTTGATAACTCCGACAGCATGGGACCGACTTCAGTAAAATGTAAACCAATTTGGACTGCTTCAAAGCGAATCGAGAGGGTCAATACACAGATATTCTGATTAATGTATCTGCTAAGCATCATCCTCTCCTAAAATGGGCTTAAGCCTTTTAGCCTGTTATGATCCTAATTTATGAACTGGGTACCAAAACCCAACTTGAGTAATGGCCCATGAAGTTGCAACCAGATATCTGCCATTTTGTGAGTTTCAAAGGGGAAACTTCACACCAGTACCATTAAGATAGAAGACACAAATCTCACCAAGGATTGCATATGGAGCTTGGTATACCACCAAATAACTTAACCGAAACAAACTCTTTGCATTTTCATAAGCACATTGTTTGCGACTTAAGCAACTTAGGAAGCATCAACTCCCACATCTTCCATATTAAACTTAGAACAAACATGAAGCACATAAATGAAAAGAAAGTAATTAAAAGACTCACTGTTGGCTAAAACCCCAGAGTCAAAACATGTTTAAGCCAGGGGTGTTCACATTAACTGATTTCAACACCAAAGATTTTGAGGCCCTTCTTGATCATCTTATTCTCATCCTCCTCCTCACCCTCCACCGGCATGATCTCGATGCTTCCCTTGGCCTTCTCACCCAGCCCGCCGTCGTTCGTGTCCCTCCGGTGCACGTCGATCATGCAGAACGTCCTCCCTTCCTTCCGTGGTTCTCGGTACTCGCACATGTAGAAGGCGACAGTGTCATTCGCCCTCAGCTCCTTCTCCTTCACGAACCGGTTCCAACCCCTTGTGAACACGAAGCTGTGGCTGCTGCTCCAGTAGCAGTACCGGAACTTCCACAACCGCATCGACCGGTCATAGAACACCAGCTGCACGTCATCCAGGCCCAGGGTACGGAGCTGCAGCGGCGCTTCGCCCTTCCCGGCCTCCGATCCCCCCGAGATGCGGGGGAGGTACTTGATGGCAAACTTCTTCGGGATGACAAGCCGGTTCAGCTTCCCTACATCACTTGGTGTCAGCTCCTTCTGGAAGAGCTGCCTGCACGTGAGCCCCCCGTTGGGGTGGGCCAGGACTAGGTCGAGGCCCGCCTCCTGGTGGGGCCCGTTGGTCCGAGCCCTCACAAAGTCGGCGAACTTGGATTGGTAGGTGCCATCCTTGATCATGGTGAGCACGGCCTCGGTGGAGTGGCAGCTCTGGAAGTTGAGCTCCTCGACCGAGAGCTTTGACCACGGGAAATTGCGGTGAGGATCCCCGCTCCGGAGCTTTATGGCGGCGCTGTCGTAGGCCATCGCTGCTTCCTCATCAGACTTGAAGGTCCCAAGCCAAATTCTCTGGTGATTGGCATATATTTGTGCTCCCCAGTGTCCATTCTGTTGCTGGACAACTCCTTTGAATTTCGAGGTCGCACCATTAGGACTCTGCCGAGCACGCTTATTGCTCAAGCGTGATGGCAAGGTGCTGTCATTTGAATCCGACCCTTCAACTAAGATGTTTCTATCACCGTTCGAGATCACGCTCAACGTTTCCTCCTCCATGGCCATCCTAGGAAGACGAATAAATCAGCGAGAGGGGAAAACGATCAAAGGATTATACGTGTCACTATCGATAGAGAAAATGTCCAGAATCGACTTCAAAACAATCAACAAAAAGCAGCTGAGAATTATGAGAAGATTCAAATTAAATTTGAGCAGTGTATTAAACCAAGCAAAGTTCTGGCACATGCAAAGTTCTGCTTATCGAAATCAAGAGAAAGAGTCGAGAAACAACCTACGCGGGGTGGTGAATTCGTGCAATGTATATGATAAACATCACAATTATGAATCTACTAAAAACCTCAAGGAAGAAAACGAAGTAAAAGGAAAAAAAAAATATGACACGTAAAGGATTCTGTAAACAGCCACTAACACCATCAGAATTGGATCACCTCCCCTCTTGTGGAAAGTGAAGTATGAATAGTCAATGACAATCACGTGACACAAGACACAAACATAATTAGATCCAAATGGACTTTCATGGTCTTGGACTGAACGTTTACATCAATAACTCATGGAAACATCATATTTGACAACAGCTTCGTGAGGGCAAAAACCAACCATTTTGGGTGCATTTATCCTGAACATAGAAATCGCATCCCCAACCGTGGAGACAAAAGCCAGATTATATACGAAAAATTTCAGCAATTAATAATGGAAAATACCAAGCCATGTACAAATTTCCCTAGACTAAACCATCATGGTCTGATTTCACAATCCCAGTTGCCGCCACTGTGACTGAATCACAAAGCTAGGAAAAAACAAAAATACTACTCATGAGCCTGCATCCAGTATTCACACATATGGCATCAATCCATCTGAGATCAATGACCATTGAGTTGGACTGATGTTTAACCTAGCATCGCATACAAAATACATGATTCCTGAGATGAAGTTCGGCTGTTAGCCAGCAACAAACCAGGCAGTAAATATCACATGAACTGATTTGTCCATTCACAGAATTTTTATGCATACTGAAAAGTTTGAAACAAATCAAAAAGCAAATTCTTTGAGCCAAGGCACTAAGAAAAAAGTTCATTCTCTACTTTCGGTCTAGACGAAAAAGGCAAAAACTCTTTGATTCCCAAGGCAGTAAATATGATTCTTAGATCAAATTCTTTTTGTAGCCTTCACCCCTGTATAATTAATGTCTGTAATGTACAGAGAATAGGAAATAAGGACTAACACCTATATAAGAGATAGCCCCGCGCCATCTAGTAGCGATGAAAAGCCAAACTCTAAAAGACGATCCGGAGATAAACAGCAAATTATGGCTGCAAAGTAAAACTCAATGATAACAAAGCTTTAACCATAACACAATAGTTCCTCTAGAGACCTTTTTTTTTTGGTCGGTTCCTCTAGAGACTTTGAAAAGGGGAAAAAGTCCCTACTGAAATCTATGACAAGCAATTGTGGTCATTTTGTAGAAAAATCCGCCATCCTTTGAAACGAAATCGTAATCTTTCAAGGAGTTCTAATGAAAATGACAGAGCAAACAAATCTAAATTAATACAAGACCAAATGCATATAAAACCAGGAAACTCAATCAAAAAATCAAGTAGTTTTTTTGGTAACTTACGTGCAAACCGAATTGAATAGAACAGAAGACAGGACGCACAAAATCCACAAAATGTATTCTCCTCTTCAACAAAAAAGATGAAGACTGCAATTGCTATTACCATCATTGGGGTTCCATCGTATTTAAAGTTTCTCAGACCATTAGGAGATACAACCTTTAAATTGCATACCATAATGATGACATGCAGTTATAACTTGGAAAGAGGTAGGATAAGGAATAGGACAACATCAATATAAGTGTTTCATTTAAAACTTGCAACATTCTATTACCTGAATATATGGAAAGAACTAAATGATAGTGAACTATGGGGGTCAATTGACGTCTTTGACCCTCAAACTTTTCAGGTTTTGCATTCTACCACCAGGGAAATTACTTTAATTCTTCAATAAATGTAAAAAGTCTTCCAGCAAAAATATTCAATTCGTTTGTACATTTTAAATTTTTTAGGATTTTGATAATAATTGACAAAAGTGAAATTCCAAATGCACAAAGCCATACTTACCCCAATCATACACAAATGCATCACTCGACTTATTTCTCCAACAGACCATGTTTTTCTTCTCCACTCTTGGTCTTCCAACCATGTCTCTGATTGTAAGCTTAGAAACATGAGCATCAACTGCATTTATTTACAGTTAAGTTTGTATGTGACTAATGTCCACAAGTCGTAGTCTATCGATCAAAGGCATGGCTAGAGAAAGTTTCCTCCAACAAGGGATGAACAAAAATATAGCACTTCCAATTTTCTCTCACATTGGACTATTCATTGCTTGCAAGATAGTAAAAGACAACTCTGTATAAAAGACTTCCAACAGTGGCAAGGTGTTGGGAGAGGGTCATCTATTATATGTGGCCTTGCCCTTGCTTTCTCGACTAAGAAGCTGTTTTCATGACTCAAACTCACGACCTTTATTAAGTCGGAAGTGGGTCTTTATCATTATGCCAAGGCTCGCCCTCAAGATGACACTCTAACATCAATCTCCCTTTCTTAAGAAGAAATCTAAAACAAACTAATTCACCTTCTTGTGTCATCCCTCAATAAAAACTGGCAAGTCTATATTGCCCAGCTCATGACTACAACTACCGGCGGCGCTTGAAATGGCTTAGATTCTAAAGGGCTCTACTAAAAGTATCCAACTTTATGAAAAGATAGATCGGTAGACATTACTAAGTCAGATTGTTAGTTTTTCTCAATTAAGAGTCTTGCGGACCATAAAAGCACTGGCAAGAAACTCTAGCTAAGTCACAACGTAAATTTGCTTCTCAAATACATAAAAGAAAAGAAGCCACTGTTGGGCTAAAAGTACGGTTCTACTAAACGTAATGTAGTAATACAAAGAGGGCACAGAGAGGGCGTGTTGAGCAAATGTAAAAAGACTTTGATTATGATGACCCAACAAAAGACTGGCCATTGCGCAACTTTGATTAATACAATAGTCTAACGTTGCACAATTCAAGTGAAGGTAATAAAATTAGGGGAATAGCTTAAAGCAAATGTAAGATTGCATAACTCTTGATAAGATAAAGCAAAAGAGCTTGTTAAAAGTGTACACTGCATGAACTTCAACTAAAGCTTCAAATGCAGATAAAATGTGTATTCCACACTAACCGACATAAACTAAGTTCTTTGGCAAAAACTTATCATACTAATCTGACAGAGAGTGATCACTTTTTACCACCACACTAGGTGTGGATAGGAGAAGTTGCATATCAACAAGACTAGGTGGGTTCCAAGATGAGTACTAAAGTTCACATGTAGGTTGTAGGTTCCAAAAGTTCCGAACCAATTAGAACATGCGTCTGTAATAGGGTATGGTGTCATATCCACCATGAACCCAATCCGGATCTTGTACCCTCTATAAGGATTTCATGTGTCAGTACAAGGGCCACATGGCTACATGGTTCAAGCAACCAATAACATTATCCCGAGGAATGCTTGTCATCCCACCTGACACTAAAATTTTGAAATAACTTATTTGTTTTGGTTTGTTACACCATATCTCAATGCCAATGATGTAACCATCCCATGAAATGCCTTCTTCTCCCTGTGTAAGCCACTATGCACAAATATACACGGTATTCCACAAACTACTTTTCAAAAAGATGTGTATGCAATAAATAGACATAAGAATCTGATTCGATATTAGTGATTTACGTCTTTTCTACACAAACTTTGATATGAAACTGTAGAGTTATTTTATAAGATGAAAAAGTTTCGCTTTTGTGATTGTTATGTTTCATGGCTCTTTGTTATTATTCACGTAAAATTTATCTTCTAGTACGTGATATACTCCTTTTTTAAAGTTTAAAGAAACGAATAGGGTATCTTGGAACCAGTGAAACCAACAGAAATTTATTCCACGTTTGGGGATGGTTCTAGGAATTTAAATAGGCAGTTTTTAGGTCGCAAAAATTTTGGATTGGTCCATAGGATAGTTCTAGAGTATGGCAAATACCCCACCCATACCAATCTGATTCAAATTGGAAAAGAATCTTTCTTATTCTCGAAGAATGAGGGACAAGGAGATTGATCGAATTTTTATTTTACCATAAAACACCCCTAACCATACTTCATTGAATAACCAAGAGTATTAAGGAAAAGCCACAAGAAGAACACATCGGTTTACCTTAAAAGGGTAGTGCAACAAATTTCAAAGCAAAAGAAATATATACAATTGACAATGCCCAAAATTGCCCAGAAGAAGAAGATTTCCACAATGCTCAGAAAGAGAAATAAATATATTAGCCGCAGACATTAGCCTAGCAAAATCTAGACTTTTGATCATGCAATTCACATGGCTATGAGATATCAAGGTATTTAAGTACTAGAACCTTGCCAAGTAGTCTTTCATCAAGTAATATCATAATAATGCATCCTCCGAGAAACATAAAGTAAACCGATATAAGTCAAACGCCATTAAGAGGAAATCTCAATTTGGGAGCCAAGATTCTTTCACTTAACAATGGCTTTTCGCACAGCATCAGTTTCAATAGTCACTAAAGAAGAGAAACTATGGTATGACACGGAAATATATTACCCACCTCTTTTATTGTCCATTACACCTCTCTCACATATCGATAAATCTCACAATATATTCGAGAGGGAGATACAAGAACATACTACCGATCAATAGCTAATTTTCCTGCTAAGAATAGGTATGTCCAAATAATATGGACAAGTAAATCCTCTCAGCATCGTCCTAGAGACAACCTATCCAAGGTAGTCAAATTACAGGCTGCCCGGAAAAGAAATTATTAAGTGTATACTTCTCTTTTGGCCAAGATAGGTCTATATTGGAAAAGAAGAAACTCTTTGCTTTTAGCCTATCCACTTTCAAAATCTAGCAACCTTTCACTTCCCCCAAAGTTCTGAATTTTTAGAATAACGGGGAAAATCCAGCAAGACCGGTGAAAGGGCTCCATTCGAAACCAATGCTCCGCTGACAAAGATTTAGGGAAAAACTAAGTAAGAGAGATTAATTAATTCTAGTCGAAAACCGAAACTTTTGTTCCAAACTCTGATTGAATTTATAGTCATTCAGGTTTTAAAGTTCATCAGGTGTCTATGCTAATGCCAACCAGTTAGACAGTCACATCCTTGGCTCCCCACTAGTTCAAGCAGTCCATGAACCAAGGAAAACTAAAATACACATAAAATCAAACAAAACTGAAAATAGCGAACCACATTAAGAAGCTATTATTAACTGGGGAAGATGATGGTGCTGAGATTTTACCTTCTCCGCCGCGCGGCCGAATATAGAAGCAATTAAATTCCGGTGCTCCCCCAGGAGAAAGCAAAGCCCTTTTTTCCAGATGAAACAATTAAAAACACTCAGCTCTTGACTTAAGCAAGAAGATAATAGAATCTCAGACAAGGCAAGAAATAAAAATGAAATTCCGGATCGATCTACTGATGGGGGATAACAATCAGATACTAACCAGAGGACCCATGAAATCTTCTCTTCACTCATGGCAATAACACAGTGTACATCGACCCAAAAGTGGAAAGAGATGGATCTTGCCATATTTAGCACCAATTCGTACTGAAACAAAATATTCAGAAGGTCCTCCCTTTCTGCTACAAATTTCAAAAGCTGTAGGCACTAGAGAGGGAAAAAAATCACATGGAAAATAATGCTGATGAGATTTAACAGACGGGAGAGTAGAGAGAGAGAGAAACGAAATATAACTTCTCTGGGTTTGATTTTCTTGAACCCAAAATAGGGTTTTATACATGGAAAATTCAAGAACCCACCCATCAGAGCCAGATTATGACGAAAACGCGCCAGAGATTTGTGTATACTTACCTCCACATGTTTCCCTGTGGGTAAATTGAATTGCATTGGAGAGAAAACATGAGAGAGAGGGAGAGGGAGGGAGAGAGAGTGGGTGTTGGCTATGTAATAAGCATAAAATATTTGCAGTTTTTCCGTTAAACATGAATAGTGAAACGAGGCAAATAACCATGAAAAGTCACGCTTCTAAACCAAAGCTCCAATTGCCCAATTTTTCTTTTTTAAAAATGTTAACTATACACTTCTTGGTTAAATAAACGACGGAAAGTTATAATTTGACGATTAATAAAACAAGTAAAAAGAAGAAGCATACAAACAATGACCAAGCAAATCGGTTGATGAGGCCGCTTGATTTCCCTTGATCTTGAACCTACAGACAGCGATAATAGAGGCAAAAGAAGCTGCAAAAGATCAAATGGATGAGGGAAAGATTTGAGTTCATCGCTCTCACTCTCTTTCTCTCTCTCTCTCTCAAACACAGACACAGACACACGCACGCACACAGCCCACTTTTACAGCTACTGATCGCCCTTCACAAAGCTTACTTGCTTTCCTTTCTTTTCCAGAATTCAGAGAGCAAGAGACATGTCGATACAAGATGGACACCTGGCCAGGTATGAAAGTAAATTTCGTAGGGTTCTGATTCAGAAAGACCGAGAAGCCACCCAGGTGGAGAAATCAGCACAGCCCTCCTTTGGGAACACATAAAATTATGCGTCAAGAATTCGCAGCAAATATCATACTTTTCTTAATGGGAGAGAGAGAGAGAGAGAGGAAACAACTTGGAAAGTGCAAAAAGGATGCAAGTGGAGACTGACAGAAGAGAAGTGAGCACGCACCCGCAAAGGCATGGCCCTCATACAATTGCCTGCGTGTGCTCACTCTCTTCTGTCACTCTCTCTCTCTCTCTCTCTCTCTCTCTCTCTCTCTTCCAGACAAAAACAAGAAAAGCTTCGAAATCATCCTCCAATGAAACGCAAGAAAAGCTTCGAAAATCATCCTCCAATGAAACTCAGCCAGATTCTCGTGACATCTCTGAACGTTGAATCGCAGATCTGCTAACCCCACGAACTCGAACCACCTCAACTACTTTTTTCGGTCATCGAGAAACTCCAACCCAGATCTTACCCTCCAGCCCAAATCAATCAAGATCCACACTTCGAACACCAATTAGGGTTTATACCATCCCCGCCACACAGAAACACCGCCCACTCTCATCCCAAGAGCATCATTTCATCTCTACCAAACCACCCCCCCCCCTCCCACTCCCCCCTCTCTCTATCTCTCCCGAAGCATCATCATCTTTAGCTAGCACCTTCTTCTTTGGGTTTCTCCAGATGGACGATATATGATGATGATGATGATGATGATGCTGTGTGCGCAATGCAAAAGAAGCGAGTGAACAGAAATAAATGTGGGATTAGTTGGGCTGGTGCCGATGACCTTCGTGGGCTAGTGGGAGTGAGAAAGAGAGAGAGAGAGAGAGAGAGAGAGAGAGAGAGACAGGAGGGAAAATCGGTAATCGGGTGATTAATGAGGAATAATCAATCGGCTTTACGGCTTTGTGGGCGATTTGATTGACGAGGTGCATTTTGAGCCGTTGATGGGTCGTCGTGGTGGGCCCGATCTGTCGGTTTCTCGATGATGCTGGGAGTCGTGCGGATTAAGGACTGCGTCAAACCAGGGAGACAACATAAAGACGGTTCGTCCTCCTCTTAGAAATATCTCCCACGTCCCCCCCGCTCCAATAATTATTAAGAAGGGAAAGTTATCCCCTTTTTATCGGGAAAACGAAAGGGACAATTTCACAAATAAACCCTTTAAACTTTGGCCAATGTGACATGCTCTTCTTGAATAAATTTGGGTCTTTAAATTTATCCTGAACGATCAATCTAGATCCCGAACTTTCGGTTCGTTCAATCTAGTCTCCAGCGAATATTAGATCGGTTGAAATTATTCCTGAGTTTTCAAAGTTGCAATCATTGCTCGGATTTTAAAGTATCTTTTCGTTTCGGTCTATTTTCTAAATCAATTTCAGGACTTTGTTGAGGGTTACCTAGGAGCATCCGGACGCCTTATTCTAGATCAACTATATAGGTCGTGTTTATCATATATGTTTTTTAATGAATAAGGTATGTACCTTGAGAAATAATTTGGTCAATCCAGATCCTGAATTTTTAATTTATTCAATCTAGTTTTTAGCAAAAATTAAATTGGTCATTGAAATTCTTCACAAGTTCAAAGTTACAAGGCTCCTACGAGCATCCGGATGCCTTATTCTGGATGTACAATAATGGTACTGTTTATCATTTTTTTTAATGAATAAGGTATATATCTTGAAAAATAATATGCTCAATCTAGTTATTGAATTTTCAATTTATTCAATCTAATCTCTCGCAAAAATTATATCGGTCGTTGAAATTCTTCACAAATTTTCAAAGTTACAATCATTGCCTAGATATTAAAATATCTTTGCATTTCAATTCATTTCCCAAATCAATTCCAAGACTTTGTTGAGGGCACCTACAAGTATCCAGATGCCTTATTCTGGATGTGCTATAATGCTACTGTTTATCATTTTTTTTCCATGAATAAGGTATATACATTGAAAAATAATATGCTATCTTTGTTACATTTTATTTTTCAGTCTTTACAAATATTATGATGGTTCTACTTAAGTATATTTTAGTTAGTGATCTCTATAACAGTAAAAGTAGATCCTCATCTAGAGGTATGTCGGGTTGATATTCCTGCATTTTAAGAATATGTGTTTTTCATAAGGATATCTAACAAAAATACTAATTTATCCGCAGATAATTGTACTTATGCTGATCAAAATCTTGTTCCTAATTTTTTGGATTGAAGAAATTTTGAAGCTTTTATTTTTCATTTTTTTTCTTAAATTTTGTTAAATATGTAAATCAGAAAAGTAAAGTAGTAGTAATATGAACTCAGTACAACATTTTCATTGTAAATTAGAAAATATTTTCCTAAAATTGATCGTTTGTATCGCTTATAAAAATGAACGAACGAAAAAAATTCACTATCCATGTAAAGGTATAGTTATCGATAATGAAAATATTTTTCATTAACTAATTATTTCAAGAAATATAAGTGATTACTTTTAAGGAAAATGTTTTCCAAACTATTCACTTTCCGTGAAACAACGGAACCTAAATCAGGTTTTTACTTTTTCAATTATAGAGATCATAACCGAAAACATACTTAAATGAAACCATCGTAATATTTTTAAAATTTTACCTAAAACTAAAATTTTAGTTTAGTCTTTTGCTGAATAAAAAAAATTGCATTTAACAAATATAGCACCGGAGAAGAATAACCACATGCTATTAAATAAAAAAAAATTGTAGGCATGGCAATAGTTTTCGAATTATCCTTTTCTTACTTGTGTACATATGTTTATTTCAATTGAATTTTAATTTTGAACATTTATATCGTCTTTGCATATCCAACTTTGCCAAAAACTTCTTGCATAATGTATGTACAAGATATGCTTGAACAAATAAAAATACATTGCACGTGTATATATATATATATATCCCTATATAGAGAAAATTACCCAATTAATCCTAAACCTATTGTATTGATGCAAATTCAATATTAAACTTTCTAATTTTGCCAATTTAATCTTAAACCTTTGTACGCTATTCAAAGTAGCCTTTCCGATCAATTCTCACATGAAATTACTGACGTGGGGGTGTGTCACGTAAGATAACCAGCGATGACTAGACCGCTGTATAGGAACTATTTTTGTCGTTTTCTAAAAGAAATGGTTTAAAAATATGAGATATATATGTTTTTTTGAAGTGTCTACCTTAAACAATAACATCGAGATTAACCTTCCTCAAATTTTCCTAACAAAAAAATTGGGACGCATTTGTTAATATAACCTACTATGATAAATGATAAGCATACACAAAGATCACCTACTACAGTAAGTGAAAAATTGCACTTAAAAATTAGGGTTAATACCACGAAAAACCCTAAACTGGTACACTTGTGACACATTTACCCCAAACTATTTTTTTGACCATAAAAAACCCCAAACTGGTACACCTGTGACAATTTTACCCTGAACATACCACAAAAAACCTCAAACTGGTACACATGTGACAATTTTACCCCAACTAATTTTTAATATTATTTTTTTTTTTTTTTTTTTTCTTTTTTCTTTTCTTTTCTTTTTTTTTTCTTCACTTCAACCTCTGGCCGGTCGCCGGTCCGGCGACCAGCCAGAGGCGGAAGCCGGCGAGGGCCGCCCTCGCTCGACTCGGCAAGGGCGACCCTCGCCGGATCTAGCGAGGGCCGCCTCGCCCGACTCGAGCAAGGGCTCGGCCCCGCCCGCCAGCGAGGCCGCTCGCCCGGTCGGGCGAGGCGCCTTCGCCTAGCGCAGGCGAGGGTCGCCTGCCGAGTCGGGCGAGGACGCCTCGCTCGACGCCGGCGAGGACAACCCTCGCCCTACGCAGTGCGAGGGTCGCCCTCGCCGAGCCTGGGCGAGGGTCGCCCTCGCTCGGGCGGGCGAGGACGGCCTCGCCGACGCCGGCGAGGACAACCTCGCCCGACGCAGCGAGGGCGCTCCTTGCCCGATACGGCGAGGGTCGCCCTTCGCCGGATCGGGCGAGGACGGCCCTCGCTCGACGCCGGCGAGGGCGGCCCTCACCCGACGCGGCGGCGGCTCGCCCGACGCCGGCGAGGGTCGCTCGCCGACGCCGGGCGAGGGCGGCCTCGCCCGACGCCGCGGCGAGGGCGGCTCGACGCCGGCGAGGGCGGCTCGCCAGCTGCTTTCGCGCTCGGCGGACCGGCGACCGGCCGAGGTTGAAGATAAAGAAAAAAAAAATAAAAGGAAAAAAAAATAAAAAAAATAAAAAATCGAAAAAAATAAAAAATAATATTAAAATTTTAATTCAGGGTAAAATTGTCACATATGTACCAGTTTGGGATTTTTTGTGGTAAGTTCAGGGTAAAATTGTCACAGATGTACCAGTTTGGGGTTTTTGATGGTCAAAAAAATAGTTCGGGGTAAAATTGTCACAGGTGTACCAGTTTGGGGTTTTTTATGGTCAAAAAAATTGTTTGGGGTAAATGTGTCACAAGTGTACCAGTTTAGGGTTTTTCGTGGTATTAACCCTATTAATTTGGCTAATTTTAATAACAATATCTGAAAGATAAACCTCATTTAAATATAACTTATTATATTTACGATGACCCATCTCCTTTTATGCAATTCGATAATATGAATTCACAACAAAATTGAAATCATTAAAAATTTAATCTAGATTACTTAAAATTTTGTTAGTATTATATTTTATGCTTGTCAATTCATCGATTTAAATCCATGTTTAATTTTATAAAATGTACATTTAAATAAGAAAAATTAAAATAAATTAAATTTGAAAATTCAATATTGAAGATTTAATTAAATGAAAATTTCTGAAATTAATTTTAAACAAAGGTATAACCTCTTGACTTTTAACTAAATACATTGAAGCGATTTAGTTTGGTGAATAAAGAACATTTCACTAAATAAAGAAATCCACTCAATTTAAAAATAAATTAAAATATAACAAACTAAAGTTATGTGATAATTAAATAAACTATTGACAAATTACGAATAACTTATGTTAACCAGTAAGGGCAAATCTTTTGCACTCAATAGATAAATCCTGTAAAATTTAAAATTTGCATCCGAAAAATTAAAAAATTATAGAAACATAAGGAATATCTCATGATTTTTCCATCTTTATTCAAGAAAATATAATAAGTAATTTTTATCTTTGAAAATGTTTATTTATCATCTATGTCATGTAAATAATTACTCTTACTTCCGAAATCCAATTATCTTAAACCTGCAATTTATCTTAAATTAGATATTGTGAGGGATTACCTAAAACTAAAATTATAAATTAGCCTTTGAATGAATAAAACGAAAATTAGATTTAACAAATATAGCACCGGATAAGGATAACGCATGCTATTAAATAAAAAAAATTGAAGACATGCTAATGATTTTTATATTCTCCTCTACTAACTTGTCTAAATATGTTTATTTCAATTAAATTTAAAGTTGTATATCATCTTTGTATATCCAACTCTGCAAAAAAAAAATCATTTTGGGATATTGTATGCACTCAATACACCACAACCCCAAAATAACATTCAACAATACAGAAATATGCTCGACAAGGATAAAAGTCCTTATATATAAATACCGACACAAATAAAAGTACCTGTAC